TAATTAGTCATGACAAAAGTTTCTTTGTTATTCTTATGTTGCATCTTTGCAACAAGTTTAAGTCTCAATGTTATTTTAGCACACGAGGATGTCGTGAATCCGCCAAACACGATTAACGATATTGAGCCGTACATCTCTAGTAGAGCCATTGGGTTCGTGTCGAAGCTGGAGAATGATTGTCCTATAAGAGAACATCTAAGATCATTCTTTCAAAAGCTTAAGGATCTCTTGAAGTTGGAATCCTCTGTTACACCTTTGATCGAGAACAAAGAGCCAGAAACGTTCAAGTTCGATCTGAAATCGAAAGCCGATAATCTCTTGCAAACGATGTTTACGATTGGGAAAGGACTGGTGAGTTATCATTAAATAAAAAAAACACATCTTTTTGGATCAGTAGAGAGACCAAGACAAATCAAGAAATCGAATTGTTTAGAACTTAATGGACTAATCAATCTTTTTCTTTTGTGAATATGGTAGATGAGTTCAAGTGTAAGAAAGGAGATGTTCCAAGTGATGAAAGCTCTCACTGAGTTACATGCTGCGATTGGTAAAGTTATGATGGAGAAACATATAACAGGGGATGGATCGATGTCACTTTCGTTGGAACAAAAGAATGCGGTTGAAAATGCGATATCTCAATGGGAAGTAACGATTACCCGAATCGTCAAGATTGTTGTAGAGGTTAAATCAGAAGGATCAACCGAGACTTCGGAGGAAGAGAGCAGTACATCTACATCTGGTGACTCGACCATCAATAAGAATTTGGAGAGTAAAGAGGATGTTAAGTCGGAGGAAGAGGCGAATAACGGTGGAGGTTCCATGACAGAGGAGGAGTTGGAAAAATCTCAAGGAGACCATCAAGTTTCAACAAATGATGGAAATGTCACGTTGGAAAATACAGAAGAGACTCAAGAAAACAATGGAGAATCAGTGAAGAACGAGAACTTGGACAACAATGTAGATAACAAAGAATTAAAGGAAAATGGATCAGTAGAGACCAAGACAAATCATGAAATGTCTATGGAACACAAGCAGGAAGAGACAAATAATACAGTTTCTATGAACGGAGAAACGATGGATACCAAAGGTGGAAATGTAGATTCTAATAAGGAAAAGGAAGTTGAGGCTCAAGGAGAAAGTATTGGAGACTCGACTAAGGATAAACATTTGGAGAGTAATGAAGTTAACTCAGAAGTTGAGGCTAATGAAAATGATGGTAGAATTA